CACTGTGATGCCTTCATGCCCGGGCCGATTGAGGGCTGGTGACCGGCCAGCGCACTTGCCGAAAGATCTTATGCCGGCGAGTCTACAGAGGCCTAGAAGACTAGCACGTACCATCACAATGTGCACCGCTAAAACGGTTGGTGAACCGCCATCTGTGCACAGGCGTCCAGAGGCTGCATCACCCTTGTAAGGAAAATCCATCATCCCATATATAAATTCGGGACTGTGGACCAAATGTGATCGGATTACTCACCAAAGTAGCGCAAGTACTCGGTTGACCAAAGATGGATCTGCGAGCAGAGCATCGGCGACTTTTGAAACAGTTTCTTCAGAACCTTTCTCTGTCTCTTAATTTAATAAGAGCAAAATAAGATTCAGAGCGTCGATGCGTGTGCCCTCTATCCAAATCAGATTGATGAGCAAACGAAGGAAAGGTGCGTGATGTGATCCACACTGGTTTTCAATAGAACCAGGTGGGTTCCATTGAAAAAGTGCGTCCAGTTTACACGAATCAAGGTATCCTGAGAGCATCGCCAAGGCATCACGACACAACGAGATCGACTGCCGCGCGCCGGACGTCTAGAAAGAAAATGATTGACAAATTGTACTCACCTGTGCTTCAATTTCGGCCAACTGGCTCAAAATTGTTTCCAATGCGAAAGAAAATAAATGCAAGAGGTTATCGTGAAGTGTGGAAATGATGTCTCTCCGTCTAGGTTGAGGTATATCTTGAAATTGCACCGCGTCCTCGTACAGACGTAAGAATGTGTTTAGTGTTAGCTTGGCTTGGGATGGCTAAAAAAATAACACAGACCTCGGTAACCTACCCCTCTGCGTCCTAGATCGAAGAACTCATCCATCATGTTCGGCCATTGCTGAGGCCATTCGCACTTAATGAGGTAGACGAAGATATGCGACAGAGCCAATAAAATGACCTTTCTTTCAGCTTCTGATTTTATCACACTTGGTATCTATCCACAATCAAATAAAAAACATAACCTACATTAGCTGACAGCTCGAATAAGCTCTCTTTGACTCTTAAGTTAAGTTCGACGCTTATTTGTTGCCAAGAGTGTCTAGTAGGTAAAGAATTAAAGACAAGCAACAAACTTTATTTTGTGTTCAAGACATTGCAATCCAAAAAGGATAACAGACGGATGTTGGTTCACGCCGCATAAGATGGAGAGGTCTCCCAGCTGGAATGCGTTCGTTTTGTATTCTTCGACGACCTATGGAAGCAGTTTTCGCAATATAACAATGGGGCCTGACCTTGTAGCATTTTGCTCGGTCAGTATTGTTAACATCAGGATCCAGCGTGGTCAAAACTGCCTTGACAATGGCATTCGAGTCCATTTCGAAGCCACGCGCGCGGTGCGACCTAGAAAGTGTAAAAGGCGCCAAGGCCATCCAGACGATAGTTCACGGATTCACGGATAATACACAGGATCGAGGCTTTTGCCCAAGTCTCACGGGTCGGTTTTGTTCTTGTCGGTCAGTGGCTGTCGTTCACCTGAAAGGCACAAGTGAAAAAAGGGTGTAGCACTGCTCAGCGCGGGGCAGTATACTCGCCAGCGCGAGGATTCGCATAAATAAATGTCTAATAGTGCTTTAAATTGGGTTCGAGATGGAGCGTGTACAACCGTCGGAGGAAGGTCATTCCACGTAGCTACTACCCGAAATGAAAAAAAAGTTTTGTCTAATGAATGTGTGTGCCCTGAGCTTGAAGATTTTCTTACCATGTCCTCGCTGGGTGTTTGCAGGGTCAAGGGTAAAAAACCTGTGTTGCCAAGCTTTGTTCAAACAGGGCGCAAGTAAGAATTAGGTCCCCTCGGAGGCGAAGGTACTCCAGGGGAAAGAGATCAAGCATCACGAGACGCGTTTCGTAGTCCACGGATTTGAGGCCGGCAACCATTCTAGTGGCGGCCCGCTGGACACGCTCAATGAGGGTAACGTCTTTCGTACGTCCTGAGTAGACAACTCGGTTGGCGTACTCCAGGAGCGGTCTGACGTAGGCCCCATAGAGTATTTGGAAGTCCATGCGAATAATACGGGAGAAGGTACGTCGGATCATCCGTAAAACGGCGAATGCCTTTTGGGCCGATTTCTCATGGTGTAGTGAGAAGGCCAGGTTTGAGGAGACCCAGATGCCCAAATCTTTTTTGGTATCCATCCTCATGATGTTTTCGGGTCCCCTTTCACCATGCATCACAAAGGCATTCGCTGAATCCCCTCCAAACGACACATGGACGCACTTTCCATCATTCAGAGGAAGGTGCCAGTCCAACGACCACTGCTTGGCAGTGTCTACATCCATTTGGAGGGCACAGGCATTGGTACTCCAGGATTTCAAGTCGTCCGCAATAAGTAAACATGGACTCGCAAGGACGTCTGCGAGGTCGTTGACGTAGGTCAGAAACAGGAGTGGTCCCAAGACGGAGCCTTGAGGAACTCCAAGGATTGCGGATTCACGGATCGATGCGTTGTTGTATAAAAAATTCCCTCGCTTAGGATTGGTCCTGTACCTGATTTGATTCGGTTGTTAGTGACTTGATTGAAATCAGTTTTTAAAGGGCACTACTCAGTAACAGATCCAGTTTTCTCTTTGGAAAAGCGCCTGCGCATGGTGTCTGTTTTGATGCTCTGCATTTAGCTGCAGTGGACAAAGTTTAGTATTTTTTCTGCGAATGCAGCAATGCTGCGTGTGCCTTTCATCCAGGTATTCAATAGGTTGTATTTTTTCCATCTGCTCGCAACATTTGCCTGAGCATTTCCATGGTATCCTTCATCCAGCGGTTTTGCTAGGGCCTTTGATAAGAACACAATGTCAGATGTTGGAAAGTCTTTTTAACTCCATCCCAACCGCAGATGTTTACAGAACTTTTGTATATTGCTTAATTATTTATTAACAGCGCTCCGCTCTGACCACATTCATTCTGCCATCTGGCTGTCCCCACATTATTGAGTCTTTTCGATTCCTGGGCTTACCGAAATCGGTCCCGCTCAGTCTTTATCATAAAATTTACGGAGCACTCCTAACTTCACACCGTTTCTACTTATACATATCCATATCACGTAGGTCGCAAAGAACTGCCATTCTACCGTCCTTACCATAAGTTGCACCCATCTCGCAGTTGTTCACAACAGCACCTTTGTAAAGTGGGGAGCTTTTTTAATAAACACCAAATGCCAGCAATCGTGATTACGTGGCCTAATGGGCTCTACTGTGGTCTTCAGTAGAGTTTCCTAACAATTCCATGTTTCAAGTTCGCGCGCAACTGGTAAGTTATGGTCCACTCGTTTGATGTATTCCCCCAGTCTGTTGTACAGGCCTGACCCTAATCTAGCTCGTCGTTCTCGTCAGCGCACTGTCTCCGGTCTTTACTTCAACAGTCCTATCAAAATAATCCGAACTCGCTGGTGGTGAAGGCTGGAGCTGGGTGTTTCTGATACAACCCAACTGAGAACAGTAGGGTTTATTCCTTCTCATTGGCTTGATAACAAATATATTTCGACCCACATCGTGTAGCACATAATTCCACCACTCAGTCACCCTTCTCTTAGTATTTGTTAGATCCTGAATGGACACCAACCATTGCCTCACTATGTCCAAAGAAGGATCCCGCAGTCAATAACCCCGTCTGTTATTCGCCAAGCCTTTCAAGGCTAATCAACGACGTGCTGTTGCAACTTCAGATAGTTTGGTATCACTAACCCGCGTCCCCTTTCCTGCGCCAACTTACAGCCCCATTCACCTTCTTTTACTAAGAGATTCGCTGATTCAGGCAGACGCAAAATATCTCATTGCTCGTGTGCATAAAATGAAGAGCAAACTAGCTATCTTACGAAGCATAATGTCAATCGGCTAATCTCCTAACTCCTGTTGCGATCCGTCAAATGTTGAAGCAGCCATTTTCCTATATACGCGCTTTTCTTCTAGATTTGTCCGTGCATGGAATGTCGTCAGCGGTTCCCAATACATAATACCGCCGACCGTATCCAGCCCAGGCTGAAAGCTGCTACTCCGGCAGCATATAACATGCTCAACAATGTTTGTAAAGCCAGACGGTTCCGATAATAGAAGCCAGCATTATTGATATGCGGTGATGAAGACAATGCCCTGTTTCTACTGACATCCCAGATCACTCTGTCTATCAGACGATCTTACTCATGAGGGTGAGAGATTCTTGTACTAAGCTGCAAACGTGGATTACACAAAGTCACCATACAAATGCCAATAGTCCGCCCCTGAAAGCTGTCAAGCAGATCCCCTTCCATTTGCCAATCTGCCATAACGACCACTCTTGGCATGGCTCAGTCGCCGACTTCCCGTGTGACCTACTCTTTGGACAGCCACGCAATCCAGATTGCAGTTGACCTGGTAGCGCGTAACAACTAAGTAGCCCGCGCAATAAACAACAACCTGTTGAGCCTGTCGGACGACTTGGCTCTTATACAAACGCAGTGAATTCTTTCGGCCTCCAAAGCGTTCCCGACAACACTTCGACCAGTGCTAGTCTACCGAGAATCTAGCCACCCTTCCACTTCTAAAGTTATTATGTTATTCCCAAATTCCCAATACTCTGGCACCTACCCCTTCTTAAATCTCCATATCATCGTGCTTTGTCCTGGTTGCGGTTCGCCATACTATGGCGCTGATAGGCACTCAGCACTGCGAACCTGCATGTCGGCTTTAAGTCTCGCACGCTTACCCGAGTTCATGAGGTTTCCATCTCTACCTTTAGGCACCTATATATGCCAACCTGACCTCGATCGCACCAACAAAAAGCACGGCTTATATAAAAGATGTGGCATCTCATCAGCCCTCTCTTGATGATGCCCCTGAAGACGACAACACCGGTTCTTGCTTCAAGACCCTATGACGTAACAATCCTCCGCGTTTCACCACCAGAGCAGCTCCTCGGGCTCAAAAACCTGCTGTCAAAGCCAAGTATCATAACGTCCTCTCTCATACTCGCTCCCCAAGTTCTAACATTTTACTCTTTGACTTTAGACCTGAACACATGCAGAATCATACTTTACCCCTTAAAAGGTGCACGTCAAGTCCTGGGCATGATGGTCAACTCGTAATTTCCAGCATTTGGATCCATCATACTAAGCGACAAGAATAGACCTTAACCTGGGAGCCTTGGCGAAAGCTTCGAAACTGCGCATCGATCCATGAACACATGAATCCGCGAATTTTAGTCCCCGATCAGTTTCCGCACCTTGCCGCCCACGTGCAGTACTCATTGGTGGTTGCCTCCATTACGTCCATCTCCTCGGAGTCCAAATGCGAATTTACCTCTACTACCTTTAAATGTATTCGTCTCGAAACTCCAAACCCACTTCTATTGTAACTGCCAAAGCACAGGACGGCCGTCCACTCCCAAAGAAACCTATTCCTCCCTTCAAAGGTACTGATTACATTACTAGATTTTCCGCCGCACCCTGTCCCTTCTCATTACCTTGCAACCCTTGTTATTAGCCTCCCTTCTCAAATCGGCTTAATTTGATCATTAGTACCTCCTGCCCCTCATTGTTTGGTGTTACTGGCACTACGAAACCCATCATGCTCTCTTCTTAATACCATCAACTCGTCGTCCCGTCCGTCCGTCATTTTGGATACTGCACCGGCCCATCCATACTGCGTGACGAGAAATCCGCTTTTTCTGTCCAGTTACTACGTGAGATATCGCCCTCTGATGACACTGTCATGGCCGTTGTAACATGTTACCCACGAGTTCCTTCAAACTGTACCACCGAATTAACGTTTTCTTCGTAACCATCGCAGTACGTCCCTGCAACTTATTTCCATGCACGTTTGGACTATTCTTCCCCAGCTCACTAATTTGAAAACTGATTCCTCTTTTTATGCACCTTCCTTGGCCTACCGAATTTTGTCAGCCACTTTATATCCTCTTCTGGGGTCGCCGGCAATCCTTCTAACCAGCAATCACTGTCTTTACTCTTATCCCCGTTACATCCAAACCAACTCGTCGATAGTTTATCCAGCCTCTATATGCACCAGTGAACGATGTTCTAACCTAGCACTCCTCATATCCTGATCTTACTTCTGAGACACACTATCTCGTTCAGTTCGCTCTCACCACCAGTCGGTCGCTGCCTCACCGACACTAAAACTGAAGTGAACTTACCGTGAAGTGAACCGGGGCCCTGGATTCCGTTTGGCATTTTTCTTGCCAGTCTAAAACACTGTTCACCCCCGTGTATTTTTTCGTTCCACCATCACAACCCACTTGCTCAATCAGACTACTGTATAAGCTTCTTCCCCACTCCAAGCTCCACGTCATCCGAACAAAATTATTGTTCTGCTGGCCCTAACCTTCTCGTCTCTGCCAGCTAAGCTGGATGTCAAAGGTTGATCTCAGCATGTTGAGTGCCTTGGG